GCTGGTGAAATAAAACAACAAGGATGGTGAGCAGGGGTTGCAAGAGAGCTGGAAATCAGACAGATCCGTCAATAGCTCCACGCTTGATGTGGCATAAAGGGGCCTTCTGGTTGACCGCCTCTGTTAAGGCCGACCTAAGATGTCTGGCCCTCGCTGACCTCATATACACTATCGCATTGTCGGCCCTGGCTTTAACCTCAACAGCTTGCATCGCCACAGAGGCCCATTATAGTGCCAGTAATGATTTGGAGGATTCCCTCAGCAGCAGAGTATTAATGCAGGGAGTCTCATCCTGCACGACTACAAGCTTATAATGTTATTTAATGATACTGCATTACAATAACATGCATTAGATTCATTATGCATATGTTTTGGATGAGCCGTTGTCAAGAAATCAAAGTAATCCACAAGAGAATTGTTGCTTTTAAAAGGACTATCGGATTATTGTTTAATCAACCATTTTATCTGGTTGAAAAAATGTAAAAATAAAAGTCAAATTGTCAGTTTTGTACTTAAGAAACATGCATTATTCTTTAACTACATTATTATTAGATAAAACATATTTTACAAATTAGGATTTAACATGCATGACATAATTAGCTTGGCCTATATGAAATATGTAAAATAGTTGCATGTCAACCAGCATCTAAATATTACTTTTGATACTTGAAGTGCATTTTACAAATGTATGTGTTAATGATGGACGTATACTGTACTATTTCTACACTGTTGGATTGCTACTTCGGAACTACTTTCTCCATTGCAATTAAGAGTCAAATAATTCTTAACGCAGTAGGAATAAATGCATGTAGTAAAATGTTTGTATCCAAATTAGATTTCTGCTTATGGATTTCCTTTCTTGTGAATCTTTCTTTTAAAAAAAATTGCATTATTTTGTAACAATAAGTATAGAAAAAGAGTTCTGGGTGTTCATGGAGCATGTAATGTTGAGGTTAAGTTCTTCATTGCATCATATATACATGTGAAGCCGCAGTGCCATCATTAATCAGGAGACCCTGAACATGCCTCTGTGCCACCCACTGAGGCCAGACAGAGATGAAGTGTTTGGTTTGTGTGGCATGAGATGGTTTCTAGCTTTCTACATAGTGGCACAAAAACATGTCCGCCTGAATTATAGTTGGGGAAAGACTGTTGGGACAAAAACAGCAAAACGCACATTTTGCCATAATCCTGCATCTTTAATAATACCTCAACTGCTTGCAAACATCTTCAAAATGCGGCCTTCTACAATATTTAAAAGCCCACAAAGTAGTTCCATATTAAGGTGAGGAGATTTCAAGCAATTGTTGTCTTTGATTAAATCTCTTTTATATGCCGCGTCTCTGTATGCCTTTATGAACTGCTCACCAATAAGTATATAATAAAACGCAATAGTTCCTCTAAAGCCCGATAGAAGAACCACAGTCAAATTACTGTGCACTTAAATCATTGAAATGAGTTCTGAACTTCATCAGAAACAAGATATCTAATCGTTTTTGACCAACATCTAAATACTAGGAAAAAAGAAGTCAACATGGCTTGATATCACATCTGGACAATTTCAAACAAGGGGTTCACAACCTAAGGGTCGGAGTCCCCCATGAGGGTCATAACATAAATCTGGAAGGTCACGTGAGGAAAGAAGAAGACTCCATTTTGTTTTTAAATTTAAATAGTAGAAGGTCTCAAAGACTCTAAAAAGGATTAATGAGAAAAACATTCAATAATACCTTTGACAAGCAGTTGCATATTTATTTTAAAGGCCCGAAAATATATTTTCTCCTTTAGCCTCTGCACTATGAGGGATGGTTCCTTCACAAACACACACTTTTAAGCTAAAGTTATGTACGTTTTGGTTATCTCACAAGGGAGATTAACTCATTTGTTTTTTCTTTGTGCTTTCCATTACTGGTTTAAGAGGGCGGGGCTTCATTTGGGGATAATGTGATGTCACATACTTCCATGCACCAATCAGGATTCAACAACATTAGAATTAGAATCTGAGACAATCTGAGGTTGTTTGCTCACTGTCAATTAAATCTGATAAACTCTAACCTAAGTAGACGGATATCTTTAGCATTTTTTAGTGTTAAACGCTTAATAAAAACTGGAGATATGTTACTTAATTGTTACGCAACGGAAACCATTGCCACTTAACACAAACATGTGCTTCATAACCTGTTTGTTTTTTTCATTTAAAATAAAATACATTTTTTAACTGAATGTTTTCAATTAAAAAGCAAACATTTTTCTTTCAACTTTAACCAAAAACTGCTTCGAATCAGCAAACATTAACATCCGATTAGAATTAAGAGTTATGCAACCGCTTCCTTTTATAACCTTTCCACAATACTCTTGACCTTTCTTCCGAATACAAAATAAAAAACTATGCAGCACGCTTAGTGACGTAATAATACGTTTACATAAGGCAGGTTGAATAATACGTTTAATCACTTACAAGGTTTCGTGTAAAATGATATTGAACTATTCATATCTTAGACTGCACTGTAACTTTGATCCATGTACTTTTTACTTTTTTCTTTTAATGTTTAATTGACTGCACTGTAACTTTTATCCATGTATTTTTTCTTTTAATGTTTCTTTTATTAGCTTTTCTTTTTAATGACTGATTTTAAATGCCATTTTCTTAATCTCTTTCATTTTTTGTAAAGCACTTTGAATTGCCTTGTGTTGAAAAGTGCTATATAAATAAACTTGCCTTGCCTTGCCTTGCCTTGCCTTGCCTTGCCTTGCCTTGCCTTGCCTTGCCTTGCCTTGCCTTGCCTTGCCTTGCCTTGCCTTGCCTTGCCTTGCCTTGCCTTGCCTTGCCTTGCCTTGCCTTGCCTTGCCTTGCCTTGCCTTGCCTTGCCTTGCCTTGCCTTGCCTTGCCTTGAGGAGGTGTTACACTCCAGAGTATTAGGTTGATAGGCTATTACTTGCGAAAGAGGCTTATATAAAGTCAAGTTAGTGGCACAATGGAGAACAATTGTGCCACTAACTCCTGAGAAAACAGACTGTGTGTTGTTCTCTGCCTCGCTTCACTGATGGCTGGTCAGGGATTTCATACACTTGACAGATTACCACTTTAATCTTTCAGGTTTTTTAATTTATATTCCTGTGTTTTAGGATTTTTTCGTTGCAAAAATAAATAGAAAAGTTAGGTTCAATAAAGTTTAAGCAACATGCAGCCTGAAAACCTGCAGCCTGGAATGTTCTGAGCGTTTGTTCAGGGCTACTTACAGATGAAAGTAAGCTTTTCATAGTGTTTAAATCCTATTACAACTCCAAACGAGGTGGTGTTTTACTCCGCCATTCACAGCTTCGAAGCTGACTAAACAGTCTCCACCTTCAGCATTGATTAACTCATGTTAAGCTGGAGCCCACTGTCAGCCCATCTACGGACATTTAAGGTGGCATAGCTTCTTTCCAAAAAAAGTTGGTGAGCTACACTTCAGTGTTCATGTTAGGCTGTATAAAGGCTTCTAACCAGGGTGAAAGCCTCGGTCGGTGTGAAAGTGAGACGGTGCTCAGGGCCTGTTGTTGGGGCTACACTGGCTGGTGCTTTAAGCTGCAGGGAAGATTAACATGTTCCCAGCTCCATGAGCAACATGGTGTTAACACTGTTGTTGCCTGCGGATATAGTGGTCCATTTGGAAATGCAAGTTTGCAAAACAAACAACTCATTCATAGCATGAATCATTTTGTGGACTTTAGGTATTTCCTCATATTTTTACAGTGTTTGTGCAAGAGATGAAGTTCAACCACCCATCCATTTTCGCTCAACACTGTGTTTTTCTTGTCGTTACGTCACTTTTGTTTTTCGCATTCATCTGCTGAAGGGATGTTTTCTCTGCTAAATAGGATTGTTGGTCCTGCATGAGCTTAATTTGTGACGTCACAAATGTTTTGTAGCCAAATATGGTACACTTTAGCAATTAGGGTGTGGACATTTTAACCTCAGGTATGTACAACGATCACTAACTTTTTATTGAAGTATAGGCGAAATGTTTTGTCTTCAAGCGAAATTGTGCATATTCATAAATACCAGATTTCTTTCAGTTAGCAAAAGTGAGTAGATGTAATTTAATATAAATATGCTTTTGCTGAAAATGTTTATATTGTTAACAATAATAATAATAATTCGTATTTGTATATGTCTCTGTATGTCATTAAGGGATCTTCAAGGATATATAATTATTTTAAAAATAATTCAAGGCATATGAGATGCAGATATTAGATCAGTGCTTAAATATACAGTGCATTTTTAGACGTGTAGATAACCAAGCTTAAAATGAATCACACAAAATAGCTTTTGGACACAACAGCCAACATAACAGCCAATAAATAAAGGTTTCAAATGTGATGGACGTTAACCAGTTCAATTTCTCTGTCCAAACTTCACAAAAAACAACTATCTGCTATTTATTAAGGTATTTGAGTTTATTACAGTTTTATACCTTCATACTTGTTTTTATATATTTTAACATTTCGAGGGTCTCACACTGTTTTTGTGTCTATGCTTTTCAAGTAAACATGAAAATGAAGGGTTGCATGCTTATTTTCCTCATCTTGACTTAGTTCTATATGATCGAAAAAACGTCCCTGGAACATTTTCCGTAAATAAACAACACGTGAATTATTAATATAGTCAGGAATATAGTAATGAGTAATCAAGCAAGTGTAATATTAGAAATAATAATAATAATAATAATAATAATAATAATAATAATAATAATAATAATAATAATAATAATGGAATATGTGTGTTGCAACCCCACTAGGGAGTATTGGGAGATTAAGAGATTAACCGGGTGCATAGTAAACCTTAAGTGTGCATGCACAGTTGTAACCAATAGGCGGTACTGTGCCATTCTTCATGGAGCTCTCCATCTCCAGCCCTGAGGACAACGCTGCATCTCTGCTTTGGGTTGCTCCCCAATTGACCTAAATACAGCATCTCTGCTCCCTGCAGGCAGACGATCACACAGAGGCTGCGAGGAGCGAGACAGTCTCGGGTTTTTCTTCTGGAGTAATTCCTCGTCTCTCCAGGACGATACTTATGTCTGGATCTCTGACAGCGGAGGCTTGAGCTCTCGGTGCTCTCATGGGTCGCGTCGGGATGGTTTACGCGGAGCAGAAGACACTCCTGGCTGGGAACAACACATACCGTGGAATGATTTTATAAATCAGAAACAGCGTTTTGCTTCGGATTTCAAGACTGTGAGGAAGGACGGACAAGTAAACATGCTAGATAATAAATCGCCGAGATCCAAGCTGGGTCCTGCGTCCAGAGGTTGCTCATTTTACATTGAGAATTTGCTGGGGACTGCATACAGAGCGGCTTCGTCCGAGGAGAGGGTGGCGACCGAGAGATTGAAAGTAACCGACCGCAGCCCGGTGATCTGTCCGGGACTGGAAACGAAACGTCTGGATGAGAGAGGAGTGTTAACCGGGAGCGGGACATCACCAAACACAGCGTACGGCAGCTCAAGAAGTAAGTGCATCCAATAATATTCGCATTGGTATGTCCTGATCTGTTAATAAAAAGTACGGGAATAACACATGTTGTGGAAAGAGTAAATAACAGCTCTTATAGTTAATTCGGGCTCATATCTTGTTGGAGCATGATTAAAAACGGTCGTGACAGCAGTTATCCTCACTGTACCAAACACGAACCACTTGCCATGGCACATTTTGTCCGTATAAAAACACACGAACTTTGAATTACGTGCGTAAAAGTTTGAAATCATGTCTAGCAGCACTTTCACAAAAACAGCCGGTTATTTAACAGGTCACAAGAGGCCATGACACATGGGCTGTGGCACGTTTTAGTGACTCGGTGGGTAAAACATCCTAAACTCCCCAATTATAAACCGAGCGCGAGCCAAAAGTGTTTGGCATCGACACAACACTCTCACTCTGATGCTCTAAATAGCCCTGCAGCGGAGATGTGATGCTTATTTATAATGTTGGAACCGCATGAATAGGCACATTTAGTGCAAAAACATGTCAGATAATGTCTTGCTATTGGACAGGAGCGAAATTAAGCTTGAATACTGGGCAGGATTTCATGATGTTTCCTCACTGCCCGTAGGTCCATCGCACAAGGACGAACACACAGACGCTGTGCCAACAAGCGACCGGGATCCCCCAACTTTAACAGGGCGGGAGGAGAGCGAGGAGCCGGGGGAGAAGGGGGACTACAGTTTGACGGATGAAAGAGAGGAGGACGATGCGCGGTCCTCCTGCTTCTCCCGAGAAGACAGCTGTGATACAGGTGAGGCCGAATCAAAGGTTATAACAGACGGGAGTGGCTATATACAGGACCGTCCTGTACACAACGCCAAATGGCTATATACAGGACCGTCCTGTACACAACGCCAAATGACTATATACAGGACCGTCCTGTACACAACCCTCTGAAATGGCTATACAGAACGGTCCTGTATATAAGGTCTCTGAAATGGCTATATACAGGACGGTCCTGTATATAAGGTCTCTGAAATGGCTATATGCAGGACCGTCCTGTATACAAGCTCCGAAATGGCTATATACAGGACCGTCCTGTAAACAGCTCTCTGAAATGGCTATATACAGGACGGTCCTGTATATAGCCATTTCGGAGCTTGTATACAGGACCGTCCTGTATATAGCCATTTCAGAGACCTTATATACAGGACCGTCCTGTATATAGCCATTTCAGAGACCTTATATACAGGACCGTCCTGTATATAGCCATTTCAGAGACCTTATATACAGGACCGTCCTGTATATAGCCATTTCAGAGACCTTATATACAGGACCGTCCTGTATATAGCCATTTCAGAGACCTTATATACAGGACCGTCCTGTATATAGCCATTTCAGGGCTTCTGTGCAGGACCGTCCTGTATATAGCCATTTCAGGGCTTCTGTGCAGGACCGTCCTGTATATAGCCATTTCAGAGAACTGTGTACAGGACGGTCCTGTATATAGCCATTTGGCGTTGTGTACAGGACCGTCCTGTATATAGCCTCGGCCATAACAAACCCCTTTAAAAAAAGTAATCCACTTTATAGGGCATTCGTCACTACTACGCATGCGCTAACGTTGGGCATTGTTAGTATTGTCCATCATTTCTGGAAGACCAAAGATATTTTGGTTTTGTAGTTTCTAAATGTTGGTGTATTTGAATATTTTTCTTGGCTGAAGATATCAGCACCAAGGGGCAACACAAGTGTTATATTAGGTCGGGGTGTATCTGGGAGTTTAGTGAGTCATTGTGGGTAATTTAAATAAGTTGGTTCCCTAGATTGGCCAACAACATATGTTTGTTATCAATAAACAGTTTTACTATAAACTTCCCAGAAATGTTGCATTTAAAACGTTATCACTAAATACCAATATTGGTATATCTGGCAGATGATATTATCCATTCACCATTTTCAATTACACTGCACTGTTAGCGTAGTTGTAACCAGTTCCATTTAGTAACCCTTCTTCTGCTTCCTCGCAGGTGACCAAAAAGTGCCACGAAAGAAGAAGACCCGCACCGTGTTCAGCCGGTGTCAGGTGTTCCAGCTCGAGTCCACTTTCGACCTGAAGCGCTACCTGAGCAGCTCGGAGCGTGCCGGGCTAGCCGTCTCGCTGCAGCTCACCGAGACCCAGGTGAAGATCTGGTTCCAGAACCGCAGGAACAAGTGGAAGAGGCTGATAGCAGCCGACATGGAGGCTAGCAGTGCCGCCCTCCCCTACGCCGGCCAGAGGGTCGTCAGAGTTCCCGTGTTGTATCGCGAGACGCCACAGATGGTCGGTTTCTCCAGTTCTATCCACTATCCATTGACTTCCCACTTCAGCCATCCGGTGTCGTTCCTAACGACGCAGATGACAGGACTGAGGTGACTTTAAGAAAGAGATGGAGAAGACTTTTGACTCTTTTGGGCCCAATGTTTCTGCAAAAGTATTACTTTTAGTTCAGTTTCTGATCCTGTTGAGTTAGATGATCAATTTATGCATTCCAATTTATTTATAACAAATGCTACTGCTAAACATGTACCTTTGGAATATAAAGTGTAGGGACAATAATTGAGGTTTAAAGGTGCCCACAGTCATGTATTTTATAGAGGACATCTCACACCAGGTTCATAGGTTTTATGTATTGCTCTATTTTTATTATTTTTCACAGAAATTGTATTGAAGAACCATATCTATGGGATCTAATAAGGGTCAATACGATTGAGTTTGTGAAACAAGCTTTTGGCATGTATAAGTCTTTGTAAACCTATACAACGTTTCCTCCAGATACTGGGTGAAATTTGCAATAGTTGAAAAAAATGGTTGCAAAAATAGGAATGAGCTAACAAATTTGATCAATGCTCAAGACCATGTTATTTGATGAAACTGTGAAAACGAGTTAGACGTGTATTCTGCGTTAACATTTTGTGCAGCTCTGGCTTTGTAAATGGCAATCAAACTACTTTTTCAGTCAGAGCTACACAAAACTTTTCCAGGAGGGAAAGGCAGTGGTTTCTGATCTGCAATGATAGGAGGAGTGCATTTGTTCAAGTATTTGTTTCAAAATATCATCAATCTTCCTCTAGAATCGTAGCCTGCACCTTTAAGGTATACGAGTATAAATGTTTCCCCTGCGTTTACAGACAAATTTAGGGTTAACATTTCCATTTTTAGCTTCTACTTTTAAGCTGTTCTTTCTGAACATGTTTTCAAAAGCTCTGAATCTTACTGACCCCATACACTAGTTGGGAGTATTATGCACTGTGTTCTCGGTTTGATCAAATAAACTGTAGAGACTAGATCATTTATGCAAAGAAGTTTGGTGTTTGTGACTTTTGATAGCTGTGAGCATGGGTACGTTGTTAGCAATATTCTTTGACATTAATTTTTATTTAAGAGGATTTTAATACAGACTTTTGTACACTGATATGTTCACATGTGAATACAAATATATGCACAAATTGTTTGGTGTTTTTTTTGGGCAAGGAAAATTGGTAACTTGGATTGTTTCCTGTCCTTTTTTTCCCACTACTAAAAATCAGGTTGTATAAAATTAACAATGAAGGCCAAATAAAAAAAGGGATTAGGACAAATTCAGATGTTGGATTAAAAATGTCAGGCTGTCAAAGTGAGAAAAAGGAATACGTTTTAAAGCTTGACCCCATCTCTTAGGGCCTTACATTCTCAAACCCAAAGTTCTCACAACTCTAAGTCAAGTGGACTTCACAAGGAACTGTGCAAATGTTAGTCTGAGTCAGTATTATGGTGCATGGAGCCAGGAAGCAAGTGTTTCTACGACATAAAGGGGTTTTGAAGCCACAGTATGGCAGCCAAGCGTACGTCTGCATCCCGCCCTCATCTGCCCCACACCCTCACCAATCAGGAGCTGCTAAACCGCAGTCTTCCGGGTCGCTGAAGAACGTCGCAACTCGCTCCTCTGCGCGCCCTATTCGCAGCCGAGGCGCAATGGTGCTCGGAGCGTCCGGAGACGTCGGTGTTTCGGGAATCTCGGAGGAGCGGATGAAATGCCCAGGAACATGAGCAAAGAGGATGCCCCGAGCCGGAGCGCTTCTTTGACCTTCACCATCGACAACATCCTGAACCTGAAGCAGCGGGACAGGGGGGACAGTGCCGGGACCAAGGAGCGGGGGGACACTGGATGTAAGGAGGATTTACGGGGCGCGGTGTGAGGACCCGTGGGACGTCCGGAAGAGGCACGACAGCGGCTCAGAAGAGACAGGTAACTGGGAATTTATATAAATAAATCAGTAATAAGTATGTGGAAGTATCGAATGCACAATGGCCAATACAAAAAAAGAAATCTGATATTATGTAGAACTTGCTATTGGTTTGTTTATGTATCGCTATAGCACTTGCTTGTTTGTTTCTTCAGTTGAATGAATTTTTGTTTATTCTCTTTATTAAGGCGTCAGCTAAATGTAATGTTAAGCCTCTCCCGTATTTTAATTGCAATGACTAATACATTTTGGAAGGAATGTAGAAAGAGTAGACTGTGTAGGCTGATGAAGCTGTTGTGCACACATATAAAGCTGGATCCACACCAAAGAGACTCATTTAAATTATTTTTGTTGAAACTGTAGGGCGTATAACCCAGACCAGAGGTGATGTTTTTATAGTTAATAATCATGCTACAGTAATTATTGAGCAGTTTCTTCGCAAAAAAGTAGCGCGTAAGTTTCCATTTTCCGCTGCATCAAAGCTCGTTTTGTCGCTTCATTCACAGCGGCAGTGAAGCCCAGGGTGCAGCGCGCGGACCGCGGGGAGGACAGCCCGCCGCTGACCGCTGGCTCCTGTCCCGGGGCGCACAGTGAGCACAGCGCCGAGGACGCGTCCGAGCAGGAGGGCCCAGGGGACTCTAAAGGCATGGTGAAGAAGAAAACTCGCACCATCTTCTCCAAGAGACAGATCTTCCAGCTGGAGGCCACTTTCGACATGAAGCGGTATCTGAGCAGCTCGGAGAGAGCGTGCCTCGCCAGCTCGCTGCAGCTCACAGAGACTCAGGTGAAGATCTGGTTCCAGAACCGCCGCAACAAGCTGAAGAGACAGGTCTCCTGCACGGACATGGAGGGGTCTCAGCTCTCAGACGCGGGCAAAAATGTGCAATTACCCACTTTTTACAAAGACAGCAGCAGCCTGCTGGGAGGATGCTTGTTACCCATGCATTTCCCCGTCATGTACCCCACTGCAGCCGCCGCGCCTTACATCTACTTCTCCAACACTGGCAAATATTATGGCCTGTTCGATGCAGACTGAGGCCGTCTCTCTGTTTGGAATCACAAGACAGTGTGTGGACATTTGGGCATCTCCTGTTTTGTCTTTTGGACTTGCCCTTTTTTTGTTTTTACTTCATAAAAAAATCTCCCATTAATCCAAGACATGCATGTGCCACTTTTTGTCCTCCTCCAAATTAAATATTATTATTATTATTATTATATTTCAATGCTTAGGACGTTTATCTTCAGAAAAATGTGCATGCAGTTTTATGGCCAGTTTTATTTCGAGCAGTAATGTCATCTGAATGAATGTATGTTAATGTTTCATCCACTTCATAAATCTGCAATAATATATATTTTATTTTCGTTATCTTATGGTTTAAAGTTAAACCCTTAAGTAGTTTATGTGGAACAATTTCATTTGTATCTATATGGCCTTATTTTTTTAATGAACTCTTATCGTTTGTTTTCAGACTGTTACACTGTGAATACAGTTACTATATTATGATGAATTTTACAATAAAAAGGTGTAATATTTGCAATTTTACCAACGTGTGTTGACTCGAGCTGAATTATATTCGGACTAAAGACTCAAATCTACTTCCTTATTGATTATTGATTGTGTTTCTTTTTATCGTACATTTAGGTTATTGTTGTTATTTACTTGTTGCTATTTCGCATTGCCATCAACTAAGTCAAAGTTTAGATTTTTCCCCTGAAGTGGCAAAGTTGGTGGTAATGACTTTTTTAAACCTTATAATATTTTTTAAACATTAAAATAGTGGCTCCAGGTTGCATTACTCGTTTTATAGCACACAAACTCGCCTTTGTGAAATATTCCTGAAGCCTGTTTGTTATTGACATAAAGTAGTTAACAGCAATATTTCACTTTTCATTGTTTAACTACAAATTGTGTATAGCACTGCTTCAGCAGAGGTGGAAGAAGTAGCAGTGTAAAAATACTCTGTCAAGAATAAATACAAAAATAAAAATAAAGCCTAAATTCCAAAAGTAAAAGTCTTCAAAATGCAAATCCATTTAACAATCACATATCTTACTGGATTATTAATGTAAACATTGCTTTCATATTGCAGCTGTTGTAGGGCTAATAACCTTAGCATCGTTATTTATTAGTTAATTTATATTTTTTATATATTAACGAAACTAACTAAATCCATCATGTGCATTAAGAACAATATTTCTCTCCGTAATGTAGTAAAATAGTTTCATAAAGTAAAATAGTGAAGTGAAGAAATGTGCCTAAGCCTATTTGCAATAACAAAGAATATTTTTATTTTTATATGATCATTATTCCAATTATTGTGCATTAACTAGTTAGCCCCCTAAACTGTGTTCCTAATCTTCAGAAATGTGTAAACCAGTTTATTTGTCTGCTTCATTTAGACATGTATGTGAAAGTGGCTCCATCTTTCAAAACACCTCATCTTCACAATCTGTTACCATATTGCTTAATATATAATTAATGTAAGCATGTTCTATTCTGACATAAATGTATTCGGGTAATCAGAAACTTTCACAAGTTATTGATTTCAAATGTAAACGGAGTAAAATCTTGTCTTCAACCAAAACCAAAATGTTTTAAATAATACACACATATTCGTGTGTGTGTGTGTGTGTGTGTGTGTGTGTGTGTGTGTGTGTGTGTGTGTGTGTGTGTGTGTGTGTGTGTGTGTGTGTGTGTGTAGACATCTTTGAACATATTTTAGTTTATAATAGTTTTGAACTTTTTCATGTCTGATCTGTGCTAGAGGGCTAAATTAAGGTTTTGCAAGTAAATGGGCTACGAGTGTAAACATAAAACCTAGACCAAATGTGCCTACATTCACAGACATTCATTTCTTTAAGTTTAAAAAAAAAAGTATAAACGTGTGTGTGCGTGTATGTGTGTGTGTGTGTGTGTGTGTGTGTGTGTGTGTGTGTGTGTGTGTGTAGTGTTTCAAATTAACATTGTAGTTTTTTGGGAAATGCAGGACCAGATGAGAAGATGTCACAATGTAAGCTGGAAAATGCGTCTTTATAGAAGTAGAAAAACAGAAACAACTAACACAATCAAATTGTTTATATAAATAGTTTTGCTTGTTTTATTGGTTATTCTTACTTTAACTTCTTATATTTATATAAATATATTTGTTTTATTCATTTCCAAAATTGAGCAATTGTCACAAAACCCAATTTCACATTTAAAAGTAAAGTAGTTCCCTCAAACCATGGAATCCTTAAAAGATGTTGTCATGTTGTTAATGAACACATCCAGAGGGTTTCCCACTGTCTGTCTTTCTCTGCCTTTCCAGCATTATGAGAGGCACAAGTAGCTGAGTAATGCATCTCCGCAGAGAGGGCGAGAAAACAAGAGAAATGTGTATTTAGGTGGGCTTGCATCAGTGCTTCTGGAGAGACCTTTCCTAAAGGGCCCGGCAAGCTGCACTTACACACCGTTTCCGGGTCACTTCCCCCTTCAGTGCTGGAGCCTCTCACTGCTCTCTCCCTGTCACAGCCATTCAGGGCCCCGGCGCTGTTAACCTGCTCACTCAACCACTTAGTCTGCCTGCAAATCTGTTGTTGTCTCTACTAAATTCCTCCCCACCTAAGCAGAGCAGTTAGAAATCTACAGTAAAATGATCACCAAAGGATTTGAGGTTGTTGTTTAATATGTTAGTTTTAAAATGCAGAGTGTTAAAGAAAGGAATACCTCTTCAACAAGATTTTGGATTATGTACGCATTGATAGGCTATCTTGTGAAAGCCATCTTTATACATTGGAGTAAATCAAAAGGAAAACTCTTGAAATTCTACATAAAGATATACTTATTAGTTAATTCTTCTCTTTTTAATGTTGTTTCTTGCATTTATTTCAACAAATCAAAGCACTATGGATACTTTGAAGGGTTCGATTCATTTAACTGAGAGCAACCTTTTAATTGCAAGGCTAAAATATCTTATTGGTATGATTAATTACAGCACTATTCTTAATTGTTTGAATATTTACTATTTTGGAACCAAGTTTGTAGTATTGCCCTATAAGCTTTAACATTACAAAGTTGAATTGAATTTGAGCATTCAACCGACCAGCCGTGACTCAGCCAACTATTCCCTCCCTGCCTCAGTGCCTCACCCCCATTCAGATGTATATATCATTAATTATACTGTAGTCAGTGGATAATAAGGAACGTGTATTAGTTTAGGCAATCCACAGCATATTTCTACCCTG